TATCTATGTTCATACTTTTTTCTTCTATTATCTTTATCCAGTTTTAGGATTAGCACAATGTTGATTTCCTAAAATTAGGGGAGAACTGTTCCTTCTTTTTTCTGCTTTAAATTTTTGATATAATTTACCAGTTAAAATGCATATGAGCCTGCTATTGTCATATAGGTAGGTTTTCAAGCTAGGAATATACCTTCTTTAATAGGTGCTATTCAAATTTTATATTTCCTCCAGAGTTAGTTTCATTAATTTGTCTTCCAAGGTGCTTCTTAGAAGTTGTCAAATTTATTTCAAAAAAGATTTTTTGTAATATGCTTTGTATGCCCTTTTAAATTCTGTAAAAATCTGTGGTAATGTCTTCTAGATCTTGATATTATAATTTTAAAAATGTATACTTGATATTGTGTAATAGGAAGAAAAGGTCTAAAGGAGTAAGGGAAGTGGGAGGGGTAGGGGAAAGAAAGAAGGGAAAAGAAAAAAACATGAGAAAAGGAAAAAAAAGGAAACAAGGTCTTTGCAAATAAGAAAGGGTGGAGGGGGTGAAGGGAGTACAGGGGAAGGGGAAAAAAATAAGAACCAAGATACTCATGTAAAGGTACAAGATCCCAATGATGAATGTAACTGTACTGTATACCTAAAATGTACCAATAAACTTAATGGAAAAAAATAAGAAGAGTTAATAATTGTCAGTTTAAAAAGCTACAGCCTTAAGAATTCTTTATAAATGGAGTAGGTAGCATCACTCAAATCACTACATTTTTAGGATGGATTATAGTTAAGTTATGAACCCTAGAAAATAAATAAGATTTAAAAACTTTAGTTAAAAATGAGTCATGCAAGATAAAATTATCCTTCAGGGCTTTTACTTTTATTTACCAGACTAGCCTGATTTGTTTCTATAAACCAAATATATTTTTAAGAAAATAACATTTTCTGCCACAGAGAATTTTTGAAACAGTGTTGTTAGATAGATGTTCCAAAGAAAGAATTCCAAAAATGTATTTGAAGTGGTGGTAGATATAAATATTAAGTTTTTTTCTGAATATAAATAAATAACTGACTGATTTGAAGGATACTGCATTTTTATGAGCTCTTCTAATGATCTCCTTAATAGGCCCCATTTCTCTAATCTCAGCATCTTCTCCTAACACCCAATCCATTTTATTTAACATTGCTAGTTTAATCTCTTTAAAGCATTGCTGTATTATTCTTCTGTGTTTGAGGGTTTTTTTGGTTTTTTTGGTACCGGGGATCGAACTCGGGTCCTTGTGCTTGCAAGGCAGGTGGCAGAACCACTAAGCTAAATCCCTGGCCCTGTGTTTGAGTTTTTAAAAGACTATCCATTACCTTTAAATATAAATTTTTTAGCCTAAGAAGATTCCATTGAGTCCAGTTTATCTTTATAAGAAACACTAGCAGCTAGTAGGCATTAAGAGGAGAAAAAGCAATAGCAAGAGATTTATTTTTAAAGGACACAGATTATTTTAAATAACAGGACATGTTCAGAAAAGAGTCTGGAACTATTGTCACCAGAAAGACCTACCCATAAAACTGACCCTTGGCTGGAATCAATGAACTTTATTTTCAGATGGTTCTAAAAATTCCCTCATTGATAAAAGTGGTTCCCTGTGTCTAAAATCTGTGAGCATACAATGTAGTTTAAGCTGAACATCTGTTTTCCCTCTGGGAGTCTAGACTTGTTGTGTACTGGGCAAAGGGTGACCACACGACCAGCCTCCAACACAGATTCTGGACTTGGAGGCTCAAGTGAGTGTCTATAATAAATGATATTTCACCTGTGTCATCACAATTTATTGATGAAAGAATTGAGTATATTCTTTAACCTCACAGAGAGAAGACTCTTAGAAGCTTGTGCCTGTTTTCTTCCAGTTTGCCCCATGCAACTTTCCCTTTGCTTTTTGCTTTGTGTCCATTCACTATAATAAATTATAGCCAGGGATAGGACTGTTAGCTGGGTCCTGAGTCCTGCTAACAAATCACTGAACCCTACTAGTGGTGGTCTTGGAGGGGTGAGGATGACTGGGGTGTTATTTGTTGGTATCACAGGTAATTTCAGGCTGATTGAATTCTCTTTAGATAGGCTGACATATTAATACACTATCTTATAGCATAAGTCAATTAACTGAGTTGTGTAGGGAAACTTTCAAAGGGGGAAATCAACATTCAAAAAGATGGAAAGTCTTATTTATTAAGCAAGGCAATATTTGCCCTATAAATATTCACTTGAAATGTGTTGGTTGAAAGAAACTGAAAACTACAAAAGTGCTTTAAAAAAGAGTTTAGTGATTTATCTCACAACTAAGAGGTAGGAAGAAAGATGTCCAGGGATGGTACAGTCACTCAGTAATTGATCTTTTCTTGCTGTTTTGCCATATTTAAAGTATACATTTTTGTCTTCATTGTCGCAACACAGCTGCTACATAACCAGGTATTATTTGATATCCTAGTCATTAGGATAAGAGAATCCAAAGGTCAAAACCAACTCTGCTATCTTTGGAAAATGCTGACTGGCCCATACTGTTATGTAGCCATCCCTGCCTCCAATAGGAGCTGAAAATTAAAGTATTTCACTTTGTAGTTATACTACTAGAAATTAGGATGAATGCTCATTAACTCACATAAATTATTACCATTATTCTGACACTAATTGAATGGAAAAACAAGATGATTACTGATTCCCTATGTGAATGTCCCGTGTATTGGTACCTTGTAGCAAGGCTAAGGGTAAAGACCATAGCAATGTCTGCTGAGTGGACAACATTCCCTTATTATTACACCTTTGTTCTTAGGGTTCTCCATATGTGCTACTGAAAAGTTTCCCAAATGCCAACTCCTGAACTCGGACATTGTATTACTGGGGTAGATATAATCTTTTTATCTTAAAGTTCTTACACAATGGTATGAAAAGGAGAAATGTGTTGTAGCATCACATGATCAGATGAAACAAAATATTAACTCTCATTTTTTTCCTCTACCCTATCTTGTTGTGTTTTCTTCCTCAGAAGCTGTAGATGAAACCAAACCTAAGGAAAGTGCCCGGCAGGATGAGGGTAAAGAAGAAGAACGTGAGGCTGACCAAGAACATGCCTGAACTTTAAGAAATGGCTTTCCACATCCCTCTCCTCCCCTCTCCTGAACCCAGTCTCTCCTGCCCTCTCTCAGCTCCACTCTGAAGTTCCCCTTCCTGTCCTGCTCACGTCTGTGAGTCTGTCTTCTCCTACCCACCAGCCCTCTTTCTCTCTGTGTGGCAAACATTTAAAAAAAAAAAAGCAGGAAAGATCCCAAGTCAAACAGTGTGGCTTAAACATTTTTGTTTCTTGGTGTTGTTATGATGAGTTTTGGTAATGATGATCCAATCATTTTGGGAAATTCTTGCACTGTATCCCAGTTTTTTGATCTGGTGCGTGTGGCCCTGTGGGAGTCCACTTTCCTCTCTATCTCTCTCTGTTCCAAGTGTGTGTGCAATGTTCCGTTCATCTGAGGAGTCCAAAATATTGAGTGAATTCAAAACCATTTTTGTTTTCCTTCTTTTCAATGTGATGGAATGAACAAAAAGGAAAAAAATCAAAAACCCGGTTTGTTTTAAAAATAAATAACTAAATAAATAATAAAGCAGATGTGCCAATTAGCGTAACTTGCAGCTCTATGGCTCCTTTTTCAATCTGAATATTAATAAATCATGAGAGTAATCAGATTACAGTGGTCCTGTGTTTCTGTTCCATCTTTCTGATAGGTAGTTGGACACATTGGGATCTTATATTTCATCTTTCTCCTGGCCTCACAGCTTGACACAAGCCACTCTACTAAATAGAGATGAAGCCTAAGACCCTGGGCAGGACCAGTGGTTCTGGTTCTTGATGGGATAATTGGGCACCAGTTTGCTAAGGCTGCTATGACAAAGTGCCACAGATTGGATGGCTGTAGTGGATATTTATTTTCTCACAATTCTGAAGGCTGAAAGTCTGAAATCAAGATGGTGCTAGCCTTGATTCCTTCCAAGGGCTGTATGAAAATGATCTCCCACAATCCTCACTCCAGGGCTTATCAACGTGCCCTTCATATGCACAGAGCAAAGCCTCTATGCATGTCTTTGTGTCCAAATGTCCTCTTTTTCTAAGGAACCATTCACAGTGCATTAGGGGCTACCCTACTGACCTCACTTGAACTTGGTTACCTCCCTCAACACTGTCTCCAAATAAGATCATTCTGAGTTTCTAGGCATAAGGGCTTCATAAGAGAGAGGTTCATGAAGTTCAGCCCGTAGTAGTCACTAAAAATTGCTTTTACTGAGATGTTCAGAGTATTTTCATGATTCAAGAAATGTATCATTTATCTAGTGAAAAGTTATCACAGGTTTTACTAGGTTAAATATTATAGAAACATACATAATTCTGAAAACTTCCCCGGCTTTTACTCAGCTTATTTATTTTAACCAAAATATTGATCTAGTTCATTCTATTGTTTTCTTCTTATGAACTTCTGTTACACATCCATCCCCATACAGGACAAGTGTCATATACTTGATTAATTATTATTGTACTAGCTACTGATGATAGAATACAGAGGAAAGGTATACATTTAGTATTCACCATTAGTCTTTTTCAAATTTTCTCCCAGTGTGAGTTTTTTAAGTGCCTTCTATTAGAAGGTAAATAGGTCTCTTGGGAAAAAAGCAATGTTCTTAAGTCCTGAAGTATCCATTCTGTTTATTCCTGCTTAACCTTCCTGGTGCAAATTCATAAGAAGCCATATGCTGCCCTGGCCTTAGGTTTTCTCTCATAGAAAAGGGGGACTTCCTTCAGTTTCCTGCAATCCTCTGCATTTCTAAACTGGGAAGAAAATCTAAGAGTTTCTGTTTGGAAAAACTTCTGTGTAAAAAAGAAAACCCCCAAAGTAATGAAGATCGAGGAAATAAATTATTTTAGGAGGTACAATCTGTAACTTTGTAACTGATCATTTCTCTGTTGAGCTAGTGCCTGCTTAGTGCTTCAAAGAAAGCTGATGTTATATGAAGAACAAAGGACAAGTCCTCCTCGGACCAAGAAAGTTTTTTCTAGTTACTGACACTAAATGAAATTTCATTGGGAGAAGCTACCACATACAAAAAAGTCAGAAAGCATCAGTACCATATACGGACACGATTAAAGAGTTTGACTTTATTCTGAGTCAGTAGCCTTTCAGTGGGAGACTTTGGAGCAAGTAAGTGTCTGGGGTTCAATCATGATCTGATTAGGGTCTCATCAGGCATGGGATAAAGTGATAGAAAAGGCTATCCATGGCTTAGAGCCAATTCATATAGAGTGGCTGGCAAGTAACTGGTTTCTTTAAGAGTTCTCCTTTACCTTAACATATTTTTGTAGAATAAATGCTTTAATTTCTCCAAAATCTGCAACTAAAAGCAGGATTACTATGACTTAGAACAATTCAACTTCTTCAAAGCACAATTCTAAATGTCCTCCACTAAATTCATATTCTTACTAAAAGCAATACCATAGGATTTTAAAAACATCTACTAACATAGACTGTTTAATGATCTTAGCCCTCATGTCAGAGTTGGAATTCTATTTTTACTAATTAGTTTCTATTTTTTGTTGTTGTTTTTTGTTTTTTGAGACAAGCTCTCACTATGTAGTTCAGGTTGCTCTTGAACTTACTATGTAGTCCAGGCTGGTCTTGAACTATTTTTATTTAATTTATAAAATCTTATTTCTTAATTGAATTTTAAAGGTAGGGAAGACCCATAAGTGGGGCTTACAATGATCCTGAAAGGCATAACATGGAGGATCGCAGCCTTTACTTTGATACAAAAACTATACATAGCATACATAAAGTCAGAGCAAAACTAAAAAGCATGCCCAATTGAAATCCCAGAAACATAGGATCTAAATTCTGTTCAGAAAGCAAAACAAGTTATTGACCTTAAAACATTTACATCTGGATTACTTTGAAAAACTGAAACTAGGTTGAGGACAAGTACAAAAAGGCCTCGATTAGACAGGTGATTCTTTCAAATGAAAATAACATCATATTCTGGGCATCAGATCCAATATATCCCATTGGCAGCCAAACCATGGCCTTACCTATAGGAAATAAGATCTTTGAAGTTAACTGCATTATTTGAGTCTAAAGTATTCAGGCATGATGTAAAAAAATTTGGGTTTCTTTGAAGATAAAGGAATTTCTAAAATAGTCTTTATTGCTATCACCCTATCCACACTGTGCTAGTCCTCCAATCATTTCCATCATACTCTATTCAGTGGTATAGAGCAGAAATTTAGAAAGCAGCCTGATTTTTACTTTTTTAGATAACATTTAATTCATGAGAAAACCTGCTGCTGTAGATTCCAAAAGAATGAATAAAATGTGTGCCTAATGCTGTAGCCAACCCTGCACTTTCCTTGGTCAGTTTGAAGTGATCCGAGGGTTCTTTTTTTTACAGTAGTTCCTTCCTATACTCAGCTTCTAAGAGAAATGAAGGAGGGGTTACTAAACTCCTCTAAATAAACCAAGTTATTGAGAGGTATTAAAAATGCACTATTCTCAACATGGGCCACTTCCATGACAGTCAGTACTACAGTTGAGTTTGAAGCCTGAACAATGGAAAAATCAACTTCATGAACAATTTCCATGCATCAGTATTAAGATCATCAAAGGTTCCATTAACTTTTTCTTAATTTTCCTATAATTGTCTGCTGTCACGGAAACATAGCTTCTGTTCATCTGGCTGTAAAAATAACTTGGTAACCCTTCTAGATAAATGTCAGCTAATAAACATAGTAATAGAAATATTGGCTTCTTTATTTCAAACAGAACTCCTGTATCTCTTTTTGCTTAGGAGGTTAAAACCTAGGTCTGCTTATCATGCACACAAGGCCTGCATTCATGTCCATCACCACTCTCCATCAGATTTTATCCCTATATGATTACTATTATACCCTTCCTGGTAAACAAGACAGGTACCAAGAATGTGGCCAAGTTCATATCTATGAGGATGATGAGTCATTAAATGCTCTTGGAGAGTACTATTAAAATGACAAGGACATTTTGAATGTGTGTTTTCCAGAGAATTGGTTACTTGTTTGGTTTTCTTACAGGTATATGTCATTGTTGTTAATTGCAGTATGTTTAGTGTTACAGAGCTATCTTTCTGAGGACAATTCCAATAAAGTGAGATGCTTCTATACAGCAGAAAATTATTACTGGTTAATCTCATGTCACCAGGTTTTGGAAGTACATGTAATTGTCAAAAGAATTTTAAAATAATTCTAATGTTTACTGAAATAATGCTATTTTGTTGGAGAAACAGAAAGTCTAAGTAATGTGAACAAAGATAAAAACAATCTATGATTTACCACTGAAAATTAAGAGAAGTTAATATTTAGTGATACAGCCATATAGTCTGCTTACTTATCTGCCTTCATCCATTGTCATATGTCATCCATTTATGTTTATTTATATTCATATGTGTATAGACATCTGCCTAAATATGTAGATATTTAAAACAAAAATGGGTTCATGCTGTGTGTATTATTTTGTAAACTGTTTTAGATATTCAATAGCAAACTGCAGGAATTTTTCACATCAATAGATAGACATATACAACATTGTACTTGAATAGGTACACTATGTTTTATGATTTTATAAGAGAATTTACTTAACCAGATCCATAAAAAAAGAACAACTGTGTCAAAGGACATAAGTACTTTAAAGGCTTTTGATGCAGCTTGCCATATTAGAGACAGAAGACTTTAAAATTCATGGTTGCCACTGCTACTTCCCAGTGCCGTGCCAAGCCCTATTGAAGCCTGAGACAAAAGGAAAAATGAACAGCCCAATATACCCTTATGAAAGTATTGTCTGATATTTTGAATCAAGTGGGAAGGTTATAAAAGCTCTACAATCAAAACTAAAATTCTATATAAAGGCTTATGTTGCTCAACATGTGGACAACCCCCATAAATCTGTCTGCTACTGGACATGGGCTGTATTTCCTAGCGAGGCCTAGGAAAGGAGGGCTGATTGGAAGGACTGATGCCATTGCACAATAATGCACAATGATAAAATGGACAAATCCATTTTTATTTAAGAATATTGCTTTGGTTTTTTCATAAATATTTTTGTATTAATTTTGATTTTGAAATATTGCAGTCAAATAATATTTTGATTACTAACTTTTTGGTATAACTTTAAGTTTCACACAGGTAAGTGCCCCTCTTGCTTATGTTAAACCTGGCCCTGCTGCTTCTAAAAGAAATGCTAGACTCAGTGATTTCCAAATGATATGACTTGTTTCTAGTTTGTGTCCTGGGAGGGGTCATTGTGCTTACACTTGATCTTAGGTAAAAGGCCCAGAAGCGATACAGGGGTCATTGTGCTTAAAGACTGGGTCTGCAAGTTGGCATTGTTGAGAGGTGTGGGAGTCTTTGGGAGTTGGGTCCTAGTGAGAAGTTTTTGTTTCACTGGGGGCATGAGGTAGTTCCCGTGGGCCCCCTTGGAAGTTCTTGTTTGAGCCTTTGAGTTCTGACAAATGTGTTGTTATAAAGGATCTAGAGAAAAGCCAGGCATGGGGGTACTTGCCTGTAATTCCAGCTATTAAGGAGGCTGAGGCAGAAGGATCTTAAGTTTGAGTCCAGCCTATGCAATTTAGTGAGATACTATCTCAAAATAAAATGTTTTAAAAGGGCTATAGATATA